TTTTGCGATTTATGAAATAATGGATAGTTTTGCGCGAGGTTTCTCGTCATGACGAACATTTTAATATGGGGGTGTGACTTGTAGTTTTCTCAAAAGTTCAATGGGTACTTTTGGCTTTATATATTTTAGAATTTGAGCATTAAAAACCAGGGCTAAATCATGAATATTTGTAATTTTGTTCACAATATCAAAACATTTGGGTATAAAAAACAAACAAAATGCAAAGTTTTCAATTTAATTTAAATATAACTTAAACCGTGCCACTAATGGAACAGCTGTATAAGTTACTAGGCATACTTATTTACAGTATATTTATGATCAACAACAAATGATGAGTATTTAAGAAAAAATATCACGTCAAACTACAAGAAAATTTACAAACAAATAACAAACAAAATAATTGAAAACCAAACCATTCATATGTAACAATTTATATACAAATAAAATATGAATTAATCAATCATCATAATGAAAAATAGTTGTTACAGACTTAACAATGAGTGGTTTTAAATTAACTATGAATTCTAACATCTAACAGTATATAAAAATGAGATGGTGTGTGTTTGTGTGTCTATCTGTTACTCAATAACGCCAGAACCACTGAACCGATTAAAATTAAATTTCGTGTGAATATAGCTTGTAAACCTGGTAAACATATAGACCTACTCCTATTCTCATACTCCCCTTGGGATGGGCGTCCAAAGTTTCACTGTTTACATTTTAGAAGAATGTAAATAGTCAGATATTAATTGAAGTCAGCTGTAATTAATTTTATTTGACAGTTCAAAGAGCAGAGGTTAAGGTTTAAGAGGTACAGGTTTTGCTCCCAAGTTTCTAAAGTTTCACGATCATGAGAATAGTGTTATTTATATAGCCTATTTTCATGAAAACTGAATTGATCATTACAATGCATAAATGTTTTGAAATTAATTTGATATGGTAGTTTTTTGTTTAAAAATTTGAACTGTTTAACTTGTGTCTGGATTAGGAATTTAAATAGGTTGATGGTTTTTAAAACTTAGAGACAAATGTACATTTTTAAACATTTGTTTAAGTAAGCGTACCATTTGAAAATTAAATCGTATGAGTACGGTATTCTCATACATGCATCAGCGCCTCATATAATTCGTACTACGTGCTTTCAAGAAAGATATACTTTTTAACTAAGAGGTCGAATTGAATTTCATCTTTGAAACCAAAGGCGGGTGTGTAGCTATTTTATATATATAACAGATTTAAATATCAATTTCTTTATCTCAAGTGACATCTCTGTTGCGAGGCACGGGTACAGCAGCCAGTATTTACATAAAAATATCCTAGAATCTGTACACGCATTGAAACAGCTTAATTTGTATTACTTATTTACAGGATATTAGTTATTGACAACAAAGAAAATAATTGTAAAATTAATGACGTAAAAATACTTTAATGAAAACATAATAACAAGTAAAATAACTAAGAATTGAACACGCAATAATTTTTAAACTGCAGTAGGTCTATTTACAAACAACAAAGTAAACAACGTGAAACATTTAAAATATTTAATTCCATTGAAATGGTGTACTTTCATATTATTAACTGAGTTTTTATTTTTAATAATAAAATTTGACATTTTAAAGAGAGAGGTGTTTGGGAAATCTGAACATTCGTATGTCCTTTTTCTTCTTATACGAGTTCTTGCACTTTCTGCAACTACGAACTGTCGTAGTCGTTCTCTCTATGTTGATGTTTGAATTACTAAATGATAGAACTGAAGGAGAAACAGTGCCTGCCACAAACCGCCGTAGAAATATAGGACATTAAGAAATCTTTGTTCAAAAAAAGAAAAAAAAATGTAAATTATTTGTTTGTTAGCCTTATTGTATCAATTGGACCTCACCGACAAGTTTTATAAACTTGGTGAGGCCAAGCTGTTGTAATTTTCAGAATAAATATATTTGTATTTGTATTTGTAAAGTGTACAGCAGTGCGGCGGTGGTCAAAAATAATAATTTTTTTTTTTTTATTTTTTACTTCAATTAAAGATGTATTCCAGCAGTTCTAATTACATTACCCTATGTTTTGGTCTAAAAACCTTTAGTGAAATGCCAGCTTTCCTTTGAGATATTGATTATTAAGATTCCGATCTTAATAATCCTACCTAAAGCACACTGCTGAATCACGAATCAACAAAAATTATAATAGTTTTAGTACTTATCAATCAATTATACGTAAATCAAATTTTATTTAAGTTACTTTATATAACTTGGTCTTAAAATACTTCAATGGCTATCAATTGAGATATTGACAGTTTTAATCAGGGAAGTTAATATACTGTATCGCTAAGATATACTGTACATAAGATATACTGTATCTCTCAATCAGAAAACATAAATTTAATGATATCTTGGATATGGAATTTAGTTTTAGATATATTTACTCAATTCTAATTAAGTTATTCTATTTGTTTTCACCTAAGAACCTTCAGTGAAATACCAGCTTCCATTTGAATTATTGATTATTAAGATCGGACGTACCTAAAGCAAACTGCTAAATCACGAACAACCCAATTTTTTTAAAAAATTGAGTTATTTATCATCAATAGTCAAACGGTCTTGCTTGCAACCTCAACAGCAACTGTCAGACTTTGACGGGGTTCACTTAGTAAATTAAAAAAAAATCAAACTTTCATAATTATTTGCAAATCTAAACGAGTTAGGCTTTCCAATGACCTATTAATTAATCAAATCGGTTCAGTAGAACTGTGGATTTAATTAATTGTACAAAGTTTAACAACAAAATCTTTAGTTAAGTATTTTCTCACCGTTATAAATTTGGAGATTGCTTAACGTTTTTGCAAATAACATTGAAATGGTGAGGAAATCGACCAAAGTTGAAGGTGATATTCTGATAGAGAATAGAGATATTCTGATAGGCTTTCCAACGACCCTAAGTAACAAAATCGGCCCGGTAGAAGTCTAGATTTAGTTGTAAAAAATGTTTAACAAAAATATATCTAATTCAGTATTTTCTCACCACCATAAATTTGGATATTCACTTAGATTATTGCCAATAACTTTTAAATGAAGGGGAAATTGACCAAAGTGGATGTGATATTCTGAAAGAAAATAAAATTTACTACAAATAACTACTATGTATTTCTTGAAAATGCTTAATAAATGCAGCCAAAAGCTGGCTACAAATAGATACTTGAAAAAAACAGTTTTGAATGTATTTTTGATATTTTTACTTTTTTACCACAAAGATTTAATAAAATCACACTTTCATAATTATTTGCAAATCTACATGAGTTCGGCTTTCCAATGACCCATTAATTAACAAAATCGGTCAGGTGGAAGCCTAGATTTAGTTGTACAAAGTTTAACAATAATATCCCTAACTCAGTATTTTCTCATTACTATAAATTCGGAGGTTGCTTAGCTTTTTTGCAAATAACTTTTAAACGGTAAGGAAATCGACTAAAGTTGGAGGTGATTTTCTGAAAGAGAATAAAATTTCCTACAAATTGATACCATACACTTCTGGAAACACTCAAAAAAGGTAGCCGAAAGTCTCCCCCAAATATAAAAGCAAACTTTCATATTTATTTGTAAACCTACACGAATTAAGCTTTCCAACGACCCATTAATTAATAAAATCGGTCCAGTAGAACTCTAGATTTAGTTGTACAAATATTTTTAAAACTGAATTATATATAGAATAGATTTCCTATAACTTGTTAGTATTTCGGTTAGTATAACATATATTTTTTGTGACATAGTAAAATACTTACTCTGCATGTTTACAAAAGTATATACAATGTTGAATTATTAATTGCAAACGTACAATAATTCCCTTAATAATCTCATGTTCATCACACAACGGCTACACTTTTCTAAATAATTTAGCTATGAGAAGAAAACTCATTTCATTTAAGCTCTAGCTCTAGGACGCAGAGTGAAGTGTTTGTACACTGTATACTGTAGCGTTATAGCTTCAGCTACAGCGTTGGACCTTACAGTTTCAGCGTTGTTGGGGTTCAGCTTTAGTGAGTCGGTGGCTCAGTCGGTAGCGTCGCGGACTTCGGGCCCATGGCAGCGATGTCGTGGGTTCGGATCCTGGTCACTGCCGATAACATTTTATCAGTACAGTTCACCTTTGTACTGTACCGGCTCACTCCTTGCTTTGCTGTAAACGATCCACGCACGGGCGCTTAGTCTATGTGGACGGGCAAATGCAAGGTTAAAAGAGGCCGCCAACCTCTTTTTTTTTTTAAAAAAAAAAAAAAAAAAAAAGCATGGTTATAGCCTGTGGCGGGTGCGAGGCGAGGGAATCTCTCCCAGCCGGCTGAGTTGGCCGGTCGACCGACTGAGTTGCACGACATGGCAACCGCGCTTAGTCGGTTTTGAGACTAGCGCCGCCTATGATCTAGTCGGTTTTTGGGCAAAAAATTGTTAACACATATTAGCATTGCGTGGGGTATCTGTGTCTATACTCCTTTTATCGATGCTACTATATCCGACAGAAGTCTTTATCAAAACACAAGTGCATATAAATTTCACATTTAAACAGAGATACGTTTAAACCCTTCAGATACATTTAGTGTCCTTATAGAACCTAGTTGGTTTATCCCATGAATAATTTTAGCCAGCCTACCGGTTTTTAATTGCATGTTTTTTTTAAATGCCTGTGTTTGAATGTGAACTTTATATGTTGACGTGCGTTTATGTTTTGATGAAGACTTCCGTTGGATTTATGGTTTAATTTGACCAATTATATTAGTCTTAAGCTGTTTGCATAAATAGTTGAAATGAAGATGTTCTTATATTGGGTGTTGGGGTTAAAGGCATTCTGGAGTAGTGTGGTGTTTATATTAACTCTTTCAATAAACAGGTATTTTCTTTTTTTATTTGTATTTCTGTTGAACGCCATCAGAATTTTGTTGTAGTTTTTGGTTGGTTTGCATTTAAAAACTAATGTTGATTTACTGCACTTGTTTCTATTAGCATTATATTTTCCAGCTCTGGCAGTCATCATGGTGATGAACATCGTGTTGTTGCTGCGAGTTCTCAAGTCAGATTACCGCCAGTGTCCTAAACAGCCTCCCACCAACCCTGAGATTCTCCATACTAAGGCCAGCTAAACTTTTTGTACTACTTCATTTATTTGTGATTCCATAAAACTTTCAGTAAACTTTTCAAAGTTGAGATTTAATTATTTAGTTTATGCTGTTGTGGAGGCAGCTTTGCTTCGCTAACCAGCAATCTCAGTATTTTAACAGTGCAAACTGTATGCATTTTATATTTTATGTGTTGAGGTGATTGCTTCAGCACTTGGCTGTTATGTAGCTTAGAGCATTAGTCACTCTTTTAGCCTATGTAATGAGTCACAAGTTTAATATTCCTTATCCATTCCTTATACATTGAAAGTAACAAATTTAATAAAGGCATTGTTCTATCTATTTTGATTGTAGGTTAGGCACTACAAATTTTTTAAATACCAAACAGATTTAGATTTGTAAATTTCTTATAAAGTACACTCCCGATTAACCGAGGTTATTGGAACCGAGACTACCTCGATTACCGAGAATCTCGAATAACACAAAGGTTGCTTAGGTTTTGAGGTAAGGGGTTACGGTACCACATTAGAAGGTCAAAAACTTGTAAAATATCTTTTAACAATACATAGCGAATGAAAAATGATCAAATGTAATTTTCATGCAAAGTTTTAAAAGAGTATAATTAAAGAATTAATGATACAGTCGAACCTCGTTAGTACAAACTTCGGTAAAACAAATTCCTCGATAAGATGAATTTTTTAAACACCCTTGAAACTTTCATAAAGGTCAATGCTAAAAACACCTCTATAGCCTATACTGACATATTTAGTAATCAGGTTAAAAACCTCCATAAGACAAATTTGTTTGTGACATGGGCTAGGACTGATTTATCAACGAATATTCTTAGCACAAAACCTCTACAAGACAGATATATCATGATTTTAAACTCCATAGTAGGTAGCCTAGTTTTCAAAACAAACCGAAGCTTGTCTCAACATTAAACCCCCACCCATCGCTCTCCCTTCCTCAGTCATTGTTTGGCACGTCTACAAAACCTCTATAAGACGAATAACAATAGTATTAAACCTCTATAATACAAATGTTCCCCTACCCCTTAAAATTTGTCTTATAGAGGTTCGACTGTACAACAAACATGCTCAATGCTTCTTTAATCGTTTTGAAAACTTTAAACACAGTAGTATATACTGTAGTATTAAAATTATGCTATACCAATACACTACATTATTTGAAACAAAACAATAAGGTAGATCTTTCTAGTTTAAAACGCATAAGATTACAAAGTTTGACCTGAGAACTTGACCCAAGTTGTCTACATCAAAACATCGTAATGACGAACACTGCTATTGTTTGTTCTGCAGACGGCTCTTCCAGGTTGCAAACGGTAGCTGGCCAACCTAGTACTGTGACTGAGATTTTAATTTTAAATGTTACTGTATTGCGAATCATCCTTGCGTTAAAATAATACTTGGTGGTTATTCCAAGTATTCGTCTTAACAAATGACAAATTACGTGCTATTTTTACTTTTTTTTATAGAAACATACTCTAGGAAACTAATTATTGTTTTCTGACCGAAAACTTATAGTGGTTACAAATATATATTTAGGCCCATAACGTCCTTAGATAACCGGGGCTCCGGTAATCGGGAGTGCACTGTACTAGTCTGTATATAGATTTTGTATGATATTAAAATATTTATTGCGATTAGTATTCTTAAAAGTATAAAAGTTAAAAATACTTATTTTTAGGGTTTTATTTATAAATATTACATTACAGTCTTGGTTTGATGCAGTTTTCATGAAGTTTAAGCAAAAGTGTTATTTAGAAATATCTGAACAAATAAATAGAGCACTAATTTCTTATTTATTTGAAGCTAAAGCCCATTTAAGCATGCCCATTGGTCGCGCCCATGGGCACATAAAAAATATGTTCTTGACTATGTACAGTATAACTTAATATGATGCGTATCAAACAAAACAACCTTTTAAATTTACATTATTCACAGTTTTAGGATTCATGTAATGTAATGTGTATAATGTAATGCTTTATTCATTATTCTAACTATGGTGATAACCACTACTACTGTGTTCCAATAAAACTATACGCTTAAAAGACTTTTGGTCAGCCTGTTTAAAGGCTGATTAGTTCAAAAAATCATAATGTTTCCCATTAGTTTCTGATATAAAATAAATATTTTTATGCATTAGGAACAGCAATTACTGTTATTTCTGATTGTTTGATTCCATATAATAGTGGTTTAATAGCTTTTAAAATATAGCGTGTAGGAATACTGTACCATTTCATTACAATGCAAAATAGCACAACCAGATACTTAAAATATAACTTGATTTATACACTATAATACTGACACAAGTACAATACTGAATCTATTTTCTATTACATCTTGTTTGTTCTCAATTGTAGAATAATTGCTATGTCTATATTATTTTCACATTAGTATGTTAAAGTTATTAACTTTATTCTTGCCTTCAATATGAAATATTTAAACTTGACTTTAAAATAGAAACGTACATACTGTTTAAAAAAAATGTGTATTATAAAGTGATTATTTTACTTGATTGTATTGTTAAAATAATATTTCACTCACACACTTAATTTTTAAGTAATCCTAAGGCCCTGTTTTACTCTGAATCACTGAGTATAAAAGAGGGTTAAGGTGTTTTCTTCATACTGCAGCTGTTTTTAATGCATGTGTTGTGGGTCTAAAGTTTTAGCCCTTGGGGAGTAAAAATCAGCTGTTGTCATCTTAGTTGTAAATTTTGATTGTAAACAATTGAATGTATCAAAAAATATAAGTATTGATTGTAGCTTATATTGTTGCCTTATGTAAATAGTTCTACATATTGATGGTATAATTTACACTAACTAGCACAATCGTAATAGGTGAAATGGTTGAATCACTTACTAAACAGCTGCTTGTATCCATTAGCAAATTAAATTAAAAACAAGTTAGAAGTAGTTTTGAGAGGTTAAATCCTTAAATGAAAAATATTTTAGGTTTGTGACATAGTTCAAATAATGGTGCAATATGACAAAAAATATCATTATTCATCAGTATTGATATCAATTCAATATCAGTATTTATTACACGGGCAAAAAGTGTCTTTTCAAGCCTCGCTCATTTTCAGACCTCGGTTTTGTCTCGATCGTAAAACTTGAGCTTGGGTTGAAAAGAATCACTTTACGCCCATTGATGGAATAAACTATTTTTATGCAACAAATAATTAACTGATTTTTAATCCCTCTTTCTTCACACCTCTTAAGTAGTATTGCACTTTCTTACTAGTGTAGGCCTAATGTAGCCTAGGGAAAAACAATTGTAAACTAATAATAGGTTAAGTACCTTATTTACGTCTTCAATCCAAGTCGTCTTTTTAGATGACAATAGTTTTGGGACAAACAGCTCCATTATCAAATCTTCTGTCTTGTTAATTACTAAGTAGTAACTAAGTAGGCCTAGTACTAAGTAATTAACAAGACAGAAGATTTGATAATGGAGCTGTTTGTCCCAAAACTATAGTCATCTGAAAAGACGACTTGGATTGAACATGTAAATAAGGTATTTAACCTATTATTAGTACTCTTTATCAACCCAGGAGGCAATACATGGATAATCAAATTTAAATACTTGACTAAACCATTTTTTTTTTAATCCCTCTCTACTTTGTCAAACTACCATGTTACTTTACCCAAATTAAGTTTTGTCAATGTCACCTTCATGAAAAGGTCTTTTGGATTTTTACATCTCTAAAAATTTAAATATAATCCGAAAGCCCTGTAATGATGTCATCCAGACCTTTAAACTGAAAGTTAACTAATAGAAACTGAGTTGAACATATGCAAACCACAACCAACCTTCACCACAGCTAATGTAGTGCTCAGTAGAATTATTGTCAGTCATGTCTCTTTTTGTAAAATTGAATATTTTATATAAATTATATCTTGTATTTTGTGAATTGTGTTAGTTCGGATTTCAATCAGAAGCAGCCATGAATTTTTTTAGAAATGAATATCTAGCTGAATTGACAAAGTTGTTTTATTTTTACTTTACTCAATATTTTAAAAAGTAATCTGTTGGACGTGAAACAATCAAATTTGTACTGTATTTTGAATTATCTTTATTTATAGTGTGTGCGTGAAACCACCATAAATTCCTAAATCAAAGGATTTTAGAATTTATCTCTTAAAGATTTGAGCTGAGTCTTAATATTTTGTTTGTTAATTCTCAATTCAAACTTAAAAGGATCCCATTTCCTCCAAGACCTTTATTCGTTTCATCAAGGTTGCATTGTTCTAAGTTGACTTTCATATTTTAGGTATACCTATTATGTTTTGGTTATATTTTAGCACTATTTTTCTATCTTTTTTTAATATTACATCGCAAGGTGAATGTATGCAGAGGTATCTTTAAATAAAGCTTGGTAGTACAGGATAGGATTATTTTATTGTTAGTTGGTTTTGAATGCCCAATTACAGTTGATGTATAGTTAGATAAGCCTATGGATAGTTATTTTAAGTTTCAATGGTCTATTAAATAAATAAATAAATATTACTTTATTGTCACATACACAAGAATACATTCCAAGTTTCTAGCGCAGCTAGAGGAACAGGTGACATTGTCAAATAAATATGCATAATATAAAACAAAGAAAACATTCCATAAATTAAATTATTGATTGTAGTTCAATCATACATAGTACAATCAGCACTTTCCCCGTATAACTTGTTGATTGTGAACATTATGTTTATAGCTTAGTATTTATCAGGAGATCAATGGATGGTTTTTCCAGTGGCAGAAGTAAATATCTAAAAGGATAATTATAAAAATTTTCAATCCAAATTGGAAAAATAATTTTTAAATCTGGAGTCCCAAAAACTATTTTTACACAATGCAACAATAGATTCTGTTTAAAAAATTGATTCCCACTGTTTTTCAATTCTAAAACTGTTTATTATAAATAAAGTACACTTAATCAAAGAGCAGCGTTGCATTGCAAAACTATGCAGATGGCTCTATTTTTTTACGTGAGATCTGTAATTCTTGACAGTTCTGGCATATAATATATGCCAGATATACATAAAAAAAGACATATTATGTCTTTTTACATTTAGCTATATTAATTGTTTTTCACATATCTTGTCAAATCATAAACATGGAAAACCCTCATAAATTGGAAGACTACACAATTTCTCATTGACCCTAAATAAATTAAAGACCCATGAAAAGGAACCTACTTTGTTCTCTCATAGTTGTGGTACAGTACTTAGAAAGTGGATGATCACCTGGCTAGGCCCTGGGTAGGAGAGCAATGTGTTGTGGAAGAAACACATGTTTCATCTTTGTGTTTGTCTGAGTTTTTATTTTTGTCCTTGAGTCTCAGCGAATGTTTATCCGGGAATATGAGTGTATTCGATTTTAAAGGTACAACTTCTTGGTAGTTAAGCTTGAGCTTGTCACCTGTTGCTAACTGATGAAAATATTTGACAAGTTGTAATAGATCTTGTATCCAATTTTAGTTCTTCTCTTTCTGTTTAAATTATTCAAGCGGTTATTTTTAATAAGTAAATACAGTAGAACCCCTCATATCCGGCCACCTTGGGTCCAAGCCCCTGACCGGATAACGATTTGGCCGGATAAACCAACATACTATTAAATGACAATTCATACCTAATAATAATAGGCAATCAATATATGCAATCAAAAGTATCATTTAGTTCTGTTCTGGGATAATTTTTTGAAAAATAAAACATGTTTGTAAAAAGAAAAAAAAAATATTTGTAGGTTAAAGTCATTAAGTAATGAATGTACAAATATTATGATTCCAGGTAACAAAACCTATTAAATGGAGGTAAAAATGACAGTAAATTGTACTTAAAGATCATTAGGACTTAAATGGTACATGCATTTCTACTCAACATTCTTAACCATTTTGTGGAATACAAAAATTAATGTACTCGTACTGTACTGTACTAACCCCACTTGGGAAATAATCAACCAACTGATCAGAGGTTAGGCCTACTAGCTCAACTGAGTACAGGGCCAGGCGCCGCAGCTGGTAGAGGCCGGATAAAGAGAGGACCGGTAAAACCAAGGCCTGATATGAGGGGTTGTACTGTATGGTTCATTGGTCAATTGTGTGTGTACATGTAAATCGTTTAGGTATAATTTTATTTAATCATCAATCAGTGTACATCAGTACAAAGTATTTTAGACTAATAGTTATTAAGAAAAGTCTTAAACAAATGGAAGTTTTTTTCCCAATTCTTAAAGTGGGTCCAAACCAAAAAAGTGCATATGTATTTTAAAATGGATTCTAGGGAACGTATAATTTTAATTTTATACTAATTGTATAAAAGCAATTTCTTTTGAATAGTTTATTTATTTAGGTTATTTTAATTGGATCCAGTTGTCTCATTTTCATTTAACATTGTAGTAAGTAAAACAATAGCATTTAACAACATTCTGTTGTAGAGAAGAGTATATTTATGTCACTGGTTAATGTACACTTATTCCTCCAATAAAGTTCAGGGACTGATTAATTAATTATGTGGCACATTAACACTGCATTCAATGTTACAGTGTAGTTGAGCATATTGAAATCTTAACTGAAGAGGTTCTTATGTTATTTTTGGTTCCATCGCAGAACCTTGTTTATTAAAAAGTTGTGCAACTAATATGGTTCAAATTTTTTCTAAAAAAATCAAGAATGATCTTAGGAAAAAAGCGGTTTTAGAAAAAAATCAAACCCTGCTTGAGTTAGTTGAGTTTTTGAGGTCCAGAAGGCTATTTAAATACCAAAATAGAGAATATTGCTCTAAAATAAATCTACTATTGATAAATTAAATTATGAAATTGTTTTATACTTACTTAGTTCAGATGACCGTTTCTGGGTACCCTAAACTTTACAACTCCCTTCTGTAATTTACTATGCTCATATCACACTGTTTATCAATGGTACAAGGCTTGAAGATCGACAGAATAAAGCTCCACTGTGTCTTAACTGTCTGTGATAGCACACACTAATTGAATAAATATTTTCATCACATGTAAATGATTCATAATCATTAAAATGTGTGTTTCAGCTCATGTGTTTGATGTATTTTTTTTACCTTCACAATGTAATGCCTTCATCAATATTCATATTTTAGTCCAGTCAATCTGTTCCTAAAATAGGCCGATAGACAAAAAAAATACTAACAGGCTGGATTTTTTCCCATCGACTACTACCATGTAGACAAGTCTCCAGCCAAAAGTCCCCACCCCTAGCCCTCTTGCTTTTTTCCCTAGAGCCCGCCAAAGTTTTTAAGGGTGGATACTTGCAGTACTTTATAAAATCCCTTATATTTCAGTAACTATTTCAGATAGACCTTACATCTTGTTGTTTTTAGATTCCTAAAATTACGGTCTAAGAACATGATATGTAGGTTTTGTGATTAGTTTACTATTTAATAGTTATTTCTATCTTTAATAATAAAAATGCATAATTTTTCTATTTCATTTAGAATATTTGCGCATATTATTTTAAAACAAGGCTCCAGTAATTATCATTAATAAAGAGGTTTCAAGTAAATATTTTCTCCTGTTTATAAGCTTTAAAATTATATATGACTTGTCATATTTCGCTCGTATTGTGCCCTGTGACTTAACATTTGAAGTATAGTGTGCACCGGCTGCCGCGACCTCGCGCCGAGGCTCGTACCGACGCGACGACGACGATACTGCTCGGGACTAGGCACGCCCACGCCTGCGTTCACTTTTGCTCTAGGGCAACTTATTTTTAAATACTACCTCTTTCATCATATTATTTGTATTATTTACAATTTATCAATCCTGGAACAAGACCAAGGATACAAGAAACATTCCAAGAAATAAGTAAACAATAAGGAACAAAAATAAATTATTATTTACCTAGTTTTAACAATTGATATTGGATAACAAAACAACTTGTATAGAAAAAACATGTAATATTCATTTTTAATGAATATAGATCTAAGGTATGCACCAAGGTCAGCTCTAGTGAAGAGCTCTCTCCATCTTGTGACAGAAGGAACATGAAAGCACTGTTTGCACTTATAGTTGCCAATTCCTACGGTCTTGCTTATGCTGTATCTTCCAGGTCCTTTTCTATTATTGCACTGTTCGAACATTGTCCCGCACATACTCCTCACATTTCTGTACAATTTAAAGAAGCCTTGAAGCAGCTGCAGTTGTTTCGACAAGATTTCTTGCAATTGGAGGAAATGAGGGTAAAAACGTGTTTTTCTAACATAATTTTGAAAATGTTGAGTTCCGTAGCTCTGCCCTGAGAACTCTTTCATCATTTCTTCCAAGTCTGAAACTAGATGTTGACAGTCATCACTGTCCTCGATATATTCGCAAACATTTAAGAAAGCCTCTTTTAAATCTTCGTTTTCTGGCCTGCCTTTTTTTGTGGTCAACGATGGTTTGGTAAATCTGGCAAAGCAATCTGAGTGGTACCGACTCTCGCATTCTACTAAGTCGGCAACCCCTATCACTCTCGATTTTACAGTCTCGCCCCAATCATCGGTTCTATCTTCAGCATATTTCAGTAGTGTACTTTGTACACTTTTGTTTTGCACCAAACGAATATATTTTCTATATAGCTCTGGAGTTTTTTGTCAATAACAATTTCTTTGCTACAAAACAAGCATTTATTTTTAAAGTCAAAATTAAGTAAATTTAAATTAAACGATGATGAAGGCTGCACTGTGCTAATAGAAGTAGTTTCTTTACATGCAGACATAGAAATAAATTATCTGATTGAGGAACTGCGAGTATAGGTCTTCCTACATTCTTTGTGTAAATTAATTTGTTGACAATTCTCAAATTGTTTGTGTAAGTCATCTTTCCTTGTTAGGCTGGACTTAATTAGGCTTAACAATCCTTTGGATCTTACATTCACAGTTTCACCTGCTGCCAACTGTCCTTTGCAGATCACGCATCGAGGCGAGTCTTCCTCCGTTTCGTCACATTCCGCTTCCATAATTATACACTAAATACTCACGTCAAAACTCAAGTCATAACTAAATAACATTATTAGGAAATAACAAGCACGCATCTGTTTATTTAAACTTATATTCACTTCGAAAAAAACACCATCTTTATATCACACTCACGCAAGTTGATTACCATCCGGAAACGGTTACAGGGATGCCAACCTTTAAAATATATAAAATATACTACATGTTATAAACTCTTCTTTTATCTCTGGAATCTTCCCCGAAAAATTAAAAAAATCAAAAATTAAACCTTGTTATAAAAATGGTAACCCAGAAGAAGTGTGTAATTACAGACCTATCTCATTGTTATGCTCATTTTCAAAAAATTTTGAGCGAGTTGTGCATATACAACTTTCAAAATACTTAGAGGAAAATAATTTATTAGATAAGGAACAATATGGTTTTAGAGAAGGAAGGTCTGTGATTGACACAGGAATCGATTTCTGTGAATCTATAATTAATTCAATTGATTCAAAGGAAAAAGTAGGGGGAATATTCTTAGACTTAACAAAAGCCTTTGATAGTGTCTCGCATGATTTACTTCTTGAAAAACTTAAACGGTAACGGTGTAAAAGGGAGAGCTTGGCGTTGGTTTGAATCTTATCTTACAGGCAGGCAGCAGTATGTCACAATTGATCACATAAATAGCCATAACCAATTAATTACTTACACTTCCTCAACGAAAATTGTTAAGTATGGTGTCCCTCAAAGATCAATATTGGGGCCCTTATTATTCTTAATTTACTTAACTGACTTCCCCTCATTGATAGAATCTCCCAATCGTGTTTGTTTATTTGCTGATGACATCAATATAAAAATATCCGGAATTTCAAATGCTGATGTGGAAGTCTCTTCTTTTGTTGAGCTTACCAAATGTAACCAATATTTAAATGAAATCAATTTATTACCGAATACAATAAAAACTAATTATATAAATTTTTCTTCAACAAGCAAAAATTCACCTGAGTTTAATATTTTTATGGATACAATTTTACTAAATGAAGTTAAAACAATAAAATTTCTTGGATTGCATATAGATGATAAATTTAACTGGGACAGTCATGTTGAAAACGTTTGTAATAAAGTCAACTCAGGAATACATGCATTAAGACAGATGTCAAAATTTAGTAGTTTAAAAACCTTAAAAATAGTATATCATTCCCTAATTGAATCACATATTTCTTTTGGGTTGTGTCTTTATGGGGGCACATCAAATTTTAACCTAAATAGCATTCTGGAACTTCAAAAAAAAGCAATTCGCATTATGTTAAAACTAAAGTCAAAAACATCCGCAAAAGAGCAGTTTAAAGAAATAGGAATTATGACTGTTTTTAGCTTATACATTTATCAAATAGCCCTTTATATTAAATCAAACCATGAAAGATTGCCAAAATTGAACTCTTTTCATACATATTCAACCAGAAAAGGTAATGAATTGGCGTTCAACAGACATAATTTATCGGTTTATGAAAAAATTCCATCTTATAGTGGTGTTAAATATTTCAATAGCTTACCTGACAATATAAAAAATATAAGTAATTTTAATTCATTTAAAAAACGTTTGAAATTATTTCTCACCAACAGACCCTTGTATAAATTAGAAGATTTTTTCAAACTTCCTGAAATTTGATTTTTTTTATAATAACAATTTTCTTTGTAAGTAGTATTAAGTTTAATATTGTGTTTTTATAACTGACTCCATTCTGTACAAGATGTGCAATATGAATAAAGTTATTTTGATAGATTGATTGATTGATACTATACGGAAACGGTTGCAGGGGTGCCAACCCAAATCGGTTACAGGAACACCAACTGTGAAAATCGAAATAAAAGGTTCTAAGTGAAATGGAAAAATAAATAAGTGATAGTAGAAAACATGATTTGCCATTGTTCTATCGTTTACTAAAACAGTAACTGTATTATTTATTTTACTAATAGGGCACACAAAAGGGGAAAACATAAGGATTTATAAAACATAAGGCTTGTTAATATTATTATCACAGTTGTGTACACTGTTTATGTTTATTTACATAAGTTAAATTTGTGTTCACATTTTAAATTTATATTATTTTTGTCTTATAATATAATAAGTTATTATTTACCACACATATACTATGCAGTATTTACTCGGCTTGATGCTTTATATGCAATTACTAATTGATTTAGTTGTATTAGTTTCTTTTTAATTTTCCTAATTAATTAATATGAGAAATAATAATATGTTTGTTTTTAAGTGATATGAAGATCGTTTAAAAAAATAAATCATCTATTATGTGAACGGAGGCATGCCTAGTCCGGAGCCCTTGTCGGTATCGCGTCGCGGCGCGGCGGCGGCGCTAGCGGGCGGGACGGGGCGCGAGTTCACGGCAGTCGGCGGTGATTACTATACTTCAAATGGGTAATTAAAGGGCATAGTAAGTGCTAGTTATGCCAAGTTATATATCATTTTAAAGCTTATTAAATGAAGAATATGTTGAAATAAAAACTCTTTACTAATGATTATTATTAGAGCTATATCTCTTAAATATTCGGAATAAAATGGAAACATTTTGTTTTTTCTAGCATTAAAGATGGAAATAACTATTAAACCTGTAAACTAATCACAAATCCTACATAACGTGTTCTTAGACCGTAATTTTAGGGATCTAAAAACAACAAGATGTAAGGTCTATCTGAAATAGTTACTGAAATATAAGCGATTTTATAAAGTACTGCATTTATCCACCCTTAAAAAGTTTTGAGGGCTCTAGGGAAAAAAGCAAGAGGGCTAGGGGTGGGGACTTTTGGCTGGAGACTTGTCTACATGGTAGTAGTCGATGGGAAAAAATCCAGCCTGTTAGTATTTTTTTTGTCTAAAAACCCCAGATTGACTGGACTATTTAGACAACTAACAGACAATTTGCCTACAGTAAAAATATTGTATCTCATACAGTTCAACTGGTCATCCAGTGGGTGTAAATAAAACAAAAAAGTATTCTCTGTTTCAGTGGTTAAAGAGAGATATTTTATAACTGAATTGTTTTTTCTGATAATTATCTAATAGTATTGAGGTTTTGCCGGCTCCAGATATTTTTTAAGTTTTGAGACGAAATAGAGAACTTAAAATGATTGAGAGCTGCAAAACCATTTCGGTCCGTGGTACTAACGCTATTTTTCACCACACTATACCCTATTACCACTATTTACCACAATAATAATATACACTGATAGTCAACACACAACTACAACTTAAAAGTTATGAGAAGAAATAATTTGAGGAATCAGCAAAAATAATAATAAATAGTTGCTAGGCAGTGGTGACAATAAAACAATTCTATTGCAATGCTATGAATACTGATTATGTATTTAATATGCATTCATGTTTTAAGCAAGTAAGCGGACAGCTGATTTTGCGGCCCTAGGGATGTAAAAACCTGCTCGGTCCCCAAATGACGATCATAGCTGACATGGCCAGCAAAACGTAGCTGAACGTAACTTAAATTCACCAATTTACGGATGTAAAACAGCTAAAACATCATATTGTGGTGAAAAATGTTCGTTCCTACAGTTGCCTGACAAAGTGCCTTGCACTGGCTATAGCACGCCAAGTAGCTAATTGCTGCATTTACTTACTTTTGCCACACTCATTTTTTTGCCCCAATCTTTTTTTTGCCCCACTCGAGTATTCCAACCAAACAATACAAAACAGTACGCTTTTATTAGGCTTGTAATACATGTATGCTTGAAAAGAAGTTGGCAACACTTAAAGATACTACAACTACGATCAGCTGGTGCAGCATTTCCCATTTTGTTCAATGCTTGGATTTAACCTAGCCTAAAAACGTGGTGTATAGTGTTTGAAATAATAATTAATTATATTCTTCTAGTAACTGTAGGAAAAATACTAGCTGTGTGCCCGTTCTACGCACGGGGATATTTTATAGTAGCCAGTTGAATGTGTAAAAAATCACACAATGTTGGGTTTTTGGACTTTTGTAAATTTATTTCTTAAGTAGGTAGGCCATGTATTCTATATAAAAGTACCGGTACTGTATCAAGGATCGTCGTCGAAAAGGTTGTTAGGAATAAATAGGTAAGCGTACGTACCCAAAAGATGGGCTATGGGCCTATTGGCTGTATGGTCCAGCGATTTCATCACACGGTAAGTAGAAACAGAAAGTGACACATTGGAAAAGCGAGTTTAGCATTATCCGTAAAACTCTGTTACAATCACCCACTGCAATTGTGATTTTTTTACTCTACACTTTACACAATCCCCATTGAATTGAAGCGCCGTCAATGAGTGAAAACCTTGTTTGTAAGCTATTGGCGACGATCATTAATAAATTTAAGTTTCCCAGCCCTTGATAACACTGATTGAAGGTCTTTTTTTCTGGTTATCAAAACTCAAGAACAATTTTATACACAAAGAATTTCTGGTTCCTGACCTGGATGATGCCTAGTTATTTAATTTCATTTACGGTTACACTATAATATTGCACTTGCGATTAATTAAATCCGTCATGTAAGAAAAACGTTTTTAATCTCACTTGATTGGGATTTGCTTTCAAAACGTGATCGGAAATGGTTGCGGTATTTGTAAACAACATTTGTAAACATAGGCCTATCAGTGACAGCTAAAAAAAATAATCTTGATCCTAACAGCTGTTCGTTATTTCATTGATGATTATGTGATAAAAATTGAACGAAAATTTTACAAAAATCGCATAAAACTGCATTTTTGAACAACCGTAATTTTATTTACAAAGTAGTGAGGCCATATTTTAATCGCTAAAGACACTCTCGCCAATCCAGTGAATACATTAAAATGACTTGGATCTTGATAGGTACTCTCGTTTTCCTGGAGAAGATAGCGTAAAATGCCATCTTGAGTGTTACAGACAGACAGACAGAAATAGAGATAAGACTCGTTTCTGCTTCTTTAATGTATAAAATGTAGATATAACCTAAAAATATATAATTCTGAGCAATGTACAGACAAAACTCTAATTTTATTTATATCGATAATGTGCAACGCTAGTGCAAAGTGTCTTTGCTGCACTCGAGAGGAATGTTTACGCACAAGCCGCAGGCGAGTGTGGAAAGTTTCTCGAGTGCCACTTCGCACACTAGTTACACAAAAAACTATTAATCGATAAATTTAAAATTTGATTGATTCAATAATTTCAATCCATTTTTATGAAGGATGTACAAAGATGATTTTTCAAGCTTGAATAAACTTAATGTTATGACAGAGTTATGTATAAATGTTGAACTATTTTATAGAGTTGCTTTTCCGGTTATTTAGGTTCTAGGAAAAGGTATAAGCATACTTAATGCTACTAAATAACGAAGATACAATTAAATTGTGCTCCTGTGGAATTCTGTCTTACATAAAAGTCATAATACTTTTGACAAAAATTCTGAAGAATCCAAAAGGGTTTTTGTCTGTTGACAACACACACAGTTCTCTCAACTCCTGGGGTCTGATTGGGTAGTAACTTACGCCACTGGATTCATCAAAGGGAAAAATGGATTTGCAAAGGGTTTTGAACCCAAAAATTATTTCACTAGCGTTTTACTTACTAGTGCTTTCATAGGAGAGGTCCACTTGTTGTAATGTGCTTAGGTATCATAAAATTAGGTAATTACAACAAATACCATAAATTGAACATTTGTTTATCAAGGTACAATATTGGTCGTATTTTACATTTAATATATGATATAAAATCACACAACAATATCACATATTTAAGACAACAATTATACAAATCATGACGATTAATGCCATGAAAATTAAATATTTTATAAAAGAGAGCTTGATAATATAAAAAAATTGCAACAACTATTTCTTCCATTGTCATAAAACATCAATCAGCTCTTGAAAATCTGTGACATACCACTTGCATTTGTTTTTAACTTCTTCTCGAATAACATTGCCTCCATAGCCTGTAAAAAGGGAATACATTAACTTGATTTATTCTTCAATTCACTGATAGTGTAAAGCAATCACCACCATTCTACACAGTAAGCTGATTTCTGTACTCTTTGTAGACAAGAACTGTAAGGTCAGCTGGGGAGCACGCCCTCTGAACACATGACACGTTTGGTCAGGAACATTGCCCTTTCACACTATCTTTACAATTCTGTTAAAATAGTGAACTTGATTCTTAATATTGTTGTGATTGTATGTATGAGTTGTATTTTACTTGCCCTATATATTTTTGGATGGTAGTGTGGCTAAAAGTATTGTGTGTGTGACTCATCAGGAAAAGTGGTTACAGTACTCACACAAAATTCCGTGCTTGGCTTCCCAACCTTGTAGTGTAAAATATGTACTATGAATGAAAAGTATCCTTCAAAACTGACTTTCATATTAATCCTATACATATAAACAACATTTAACAATCAAAAACACAGTTTCCAAAATTGTGTTATAAGCATTTTGCTAACAATTCAACCTCCAAAACTGATTTGCCAAATGAAATAGTATTAAATTAATGTTTTTTTTTTTGTTTAGGGTTTTACTACACTGACCTCCAAAAGGTAAAACTTAAGTGCAAGTATTGGTAATTAAAACCGTAAAACAAATCTAACAACTAAACAGGTCTAGACATGGAATGTCAGAATAAGTACATGTCTTGCTCTGGGGCTGTTGAAATACATTCAGTTGTTCCACAAGAAACGTTAACTTATGTTACAGTACTAGCATTAACTATTAGATACTGAAGGTTTACTGTGTGTTTACCCCACAGAGTAAATGGAGAGATGAAATTGACTCTCCATCATTAAATGACACTACACCTTTTTCAGGATTTAGCACCCCTAAAATAAGTAAAATAAATTCTTTGCAGAAAGTCATATCTCATCTCTAAAATAAAAATGAAAGCGAGATTAAAGTAGCAGAAGAATCAAACATGAATAATGGATCTTTAGGGACTATCAAAGCCTGTAATAGTAGATATGAGCCCTCTGAAAAATCTAGATATTTTTTACGGGAGAAGCCAGTAGCTCAAACAAAAAAGTAGCTAATAAATGCCTGAGTACATCAACATGTAGTGTTAACAACAGTTTTCTGACTCAGTCCAATAGTGGGTTGAACCCAGTTGAAGTAAATGGCCTCAAATTATTGTACATTAATCTTCAGGGACTGAGGGGCAAAGAAAATATATTGAGCTTTCAAGCCCAAGAGCACAAATATGATATTATGTGTTAGTGAACATTGGCTACATGAAGAAGAGGTCAGATACTTACAAGTTGAAGGTTACACACCTTTATCAATGTACTGCCGTAAACATCATATACGAGGTGGTGTTGGAATATTAGTTTCAAACAACAAGAATATTATACACAAAGTACTGGATATAGACTGGCTGTGCACTGAAATTAGCTTTGAATGTTCTGCCGTCATGATAGAAACCCCTAAAATAATAGTTGTAAGCATCTATCATTCTCCAGCAGGTGATGAAAACTTGTTCTTAAAGGACTTAGAACTATTGCTAATCCATCTTAGTCGCTTCAAGACCAACATTGTTATTGGGGGTGATGTTAACTCCAAGTTTGATGTAACAAAAGACAAATCCACTGTTAAAAGGCTGTTAAATACTCTGAGACAGTTTAACTGTAAATTTCTCAACAATATGCCCACACGTTTAAATTCTTGTTTGGATAATATATTTACAAACATCCCAGAAGAACTTTGCAAGACTCAAGTTGTTCCCCTCGATATTGCTGACCACAGCGGGTTGGAGTGCATCATACAGCTTCAATCATTCTTCAACTGTGATCATCCTAAAAGCTTTAATTTCCGAAATCTGTCTCTACGATGTTTGGACAACTTCTTTGAACTTTTGTAAAATATTGACTGGGTTAACCTGTTGTGTCAAAACAATTTATCTGCTGAAGACCGGTTCGACCTATTCTTTTCTAAAATGATTGGGATTTTTAATCAAGCTTGCCCACTTAAAACTTCAAAAAAAAGAAACCATCGAGCACCACAAAAACCAAGGAATGGTATTCTCCTGAGTTAACTCGGTTGAAGGAGGAAGTCATGGCTTACCGTACAATTTACATGAACATTAAAACTCAAGCTTCTTTTGAGGCTTACAAACGCATTAGGAGCCAATACAAAATTCATGTAAATCAAGCTAAGCAGAACGCTAATGCTGCATATATTTAAAACAAATGCCAAGCCGCCTGGACATTCGGAGGGTATCAGCACAGAAGAAACCGGAGTGTGATGCTTCAATCACTGCCGAAGATTTCAACAACTTCTTCATTCAATCTGTCAAGGAGGCGAGGAACAACATCCAGCCATCGCCTGTGGCACCAGCAGTTTTTCTTCAACATGCGAGAAGGCCCAGCTCCGACTTCAAGTGGGAAATGGTGACCAGTGAAAGTGTGCTCAGAGTTGTTAAAGAACTGCTGAAAAAAGCTCAGAAAAGTAAAGATGTGTACGGGCTTTCAACAAGTGTTATAAAGCATGTAATACAAGCAATCTTGACGCCACTTGTTATTTATTTGCATCAATTGTTTTCTTGCTGAGGGTAGCTTTCCGAATTCCCAAAAAAATTCTAGAGTTGTCCCAATTTTCAAGAAAAGTGATAAGTCTCAAATGAAAAATTACCGCCCAATATCTTTAGTCCCTGTCATAGGAAAAATTATGGAGGCGGTAGTGAAAACTCAGATATGTAAATTTTTAGATATCCATAGTTTATTGTCTGATTCCCAATTTGGTTTCCGTAAAGGGTTGTCTACTACTGATGCCCTAGAAAAAAATTATCTCAGAGATCCTTTTGGCTTTTGAAAACGGAAGTCTTGCCCAGATCACTGCCTGTGATCTGAGCAAGGCTTTCGATTGTGTTGATCACCTAATTCTTTTAAATAAGCTTAATCACTATGGCATGTGGTGTTGAACTCAAGTTCTTTGAATCATATCTGAATGGGAGAAGTCAATTATGTTGATGCAGGTGGTAATGTGTCAAATTGTTCTGAAGTGAACACCGGAGTGCCACAGGGTTCAGTGATTGGACCACTACTTTTTATTCTGGTAATTAATGATATAGCTAGCAATATAACCAACTCATCAACTATTATATTTGCTGATGATACTAGTTTTTTAAGTGTCCTTTCAGATTATGACCATCTCAAATCAACAATTGAACAAACTCTAGATAAAGCTGAGATGTGGTTCAGCTCCAATAACCTCCTTTTAAACCTAGAAAAAACTCAAAATCTTCTTTGTACTCTAAGGGCCAACAACCAGGATCAGAAAACAAATATTAAAATTCTAGGAGTTGTAATTGGTAGTACTTTATCTTGGGAAAACATGTTGAGTTAGTATGTTGTAAATTATCTAGAGTCACCTTCTTGCTCAAATCACTGATGGATATTGTACCTGAGTCATATGTTAGAACAGCTTATTTCACATTTTTCCAGTCAGTCATAAATTATGGCCTAATTCTTTGGGGAAATAGTGCCCATATAGATCAAGTTTTGTTAAATCAAAAAAAGCACTTCGTATTTTGAATAAGGTTTCTCTTGAAAAAAATGGAAAGCTTAGGCATAAACATTTGTTTAAAAAATGTAAAATTCAAACTGCGACAAATTTGTATATATTTGTTTGCTTGGTGAAGGTGAAAAAAGATTTTAATTTAGGTTTATTAGTTTTAAGATCATATATCCATAGCCATAATACAAGAAACCAATCTATGCTAGACCTGCCATATACTAGGTTAAGTAAATGTCAAGATAGTTTTAATATAGTTAGTTTGACATTTTTAAGTTAAGTTATAGCTGTAAATTTCTGGAGCTTGGTGTTTAAAAAAAAGGTTGTATGACTGGCTGATCCAAAATCCTTTTTACAGCCTAGAAGAATTTTATAAAGAGCATTCTGTTAGTTTTTAATAATCAGTATTATAGTTATAAGCCTATCTATTACAAATTGTAGCTATGTTATGTATTTTTTATTTATTTTGCATGTTAAAAATGACACTGTCTATTGCATGTATGTAATGCTGAAGGACAATAAATGATGATTCTGATTCTGTGGTGCACATTATACAGAACCTACCAAAACACTATGATATTCACTAAATACCCAGGTATCATATAACCCAGGTAAGTTCAAACAGGGAGAGCCTACTCATGCAAAATACACATTTGATTTATATTTTATGAGTTTATTTTAAAACGTTTTTATTAGCTCGCTTTCTTGTCCGGAACAAATTTTGCAATCAATTTTATATTAAGTTAAAGTTCCCGATGAGCTAGAAACTTGAAACATAGCTCACAAATGGATGACAATGCAATAATATATAATTTAATTTTCATATTTCCCTTGGGCTACGCCCCATGGGCTTGTTTTTATTAACTCGCTTTCTTGCAAATTTTGATACTTCCTGATGAGCTAGAGACTTGAAACTTGAAACATAGCTCACAAATGGATGACAGTGCAATATTATATCATTTAATTTTCATATTTCCCTTTGGCTACGCCCCATGGGCTTGTTTTTATTAGCTTGCTAGTCGCTTTCCTACAAATTTTGATATCAATTTTAAACAAAGTTCCCGATGAGCTAGAGACTTGAAATTTGAAACATAGCTCACAAATGGATGACAATGCAATATTATATAATTTAATGTTCACATTTCAGACTTCCAAATTATTGTAATGTGTAATGTATTGGACTTCCAAATTTTCTATGTTTACATTTTGAAAGAATGTAAATATATCAATTAATTTAAGTCAGCTGTAAATACTTAAATTTGACAGTTCGAAGAGCAGAGAGGTTAAGAGGTACTGGTTATGCTCCCAAGAGATTCTTTATATAAACAAACCTTTCTAAATAAAGATAAACAATCTGATTGCAGATATAAAGGTGTTTATTAATAGTGTCATTTGTTATTTATTTAGTATTCTATAAAGTAAAGATTAAATTAAATAGATTGATATATTTATAGTTAGTAGGTAGGCCATACACTAAATCTAATACATAATTATATGAAAAGACACTCAGATAAACCTTAGATTTCCCACATAGCTCTGTCTTAATCTGATATAGATGCTTGAAATAGATTTAACATCCACACACATTAAAAACTAAAAATCAGAAAATAATTTATAAATAAAAAACTTTTTTAAAACAAAATGTTTTTAAACGAACTAAAAAGTAGAAAATAATTTATAAATATGTGGAGAGTATAAATACTTGTAAGATTTAAAACGAAAAACGTTGGGTGCATGCAATAGATAATTTACAATTACCTTCACCTATTCAACTAATGTATTATTATCAATTGCATGCACCCAACGTTTTACGTTTTTAATCTTACAAGTATTTATACTCTCCACATATTTATAAATTATTTTCTACTTTTTAGTGCGTTTAAAAACATTTTGTTTAAAAAAAGTTTTTATTTATAATTTTTTTAATTGTAGGCTTAGTAATTTTGAAAACTATTATCTGAACGAACCAAAACATCCAGGTAGTGTTTTACAAATTTTTGATAAAATACATAGTATTTATATCATTCTTAATTAGCATTGTGCGTGTTGCTAAAAACATAAATTTGCATTTTTTTATGTTAACTCACAAAATAGTAAATGCATTTATGGTAAGTGATTCGCCTATTGGGTCTGATGATGATTGGAGTGACCAATCAAATTGATCACCACAATATTATATATTTACCTTGTGAAATTGTGTTTATATATACGGTGTCTTGTGAGTTAACAGTATAACTGTAATAATGTTTTTAGTGTTATTGATCTATGTATCAGTGAAACAGTGAATATCCTAATATTTTGACATGCCGATTTACTAAAGTCTGCTGTAAATGAAATGCAATAAAAATCAATTCTAATTATGACTGACCGATGAAGGCATCGGCAGGGGGGCAAGCTTCCAAGTCTGTGGCTCCATCCCCAACCATGATAATCTTGCCGTAACCGTGCTCTTTCTTGAGCAGTCCAATCACTTCTCCTTTCCCTCCACTGCGAGATGTCGGTTCACTTTCATCAAACCCAGCATACTCACCTAGTAAATGTTAAGTAATATGTGTTAAAACTAAAATGTTTACAATTTTACAACTAAGTAGTTTCATGGTGAAGACTTTAAGGCAATTACATACAATTTTCTTCATAATTTTGTATTGAAAAATATTTTTAAAAGCTGAGTAAAAATTCAAGTGGTCATTAATAGTAATTTTAACAAATTTTCCTTTAAAGCTAGGCACCCACCGGGCAACCCAGTGCCCGGTTGATAACCCCAGCGGCGCGACGCGGTGGATAAAGTTGCCAGGTATCCGTGCCATGTTATCTTATGGACTGACGCCCACCTAGTAACCCAGTAGGTGGCGCGACGCGGCGCGGAAAAAAACTTCTCGAATCCGGCAGTGAAAATTCAGTGGAGAAGTTCTTCCTCTCGTGTTGCCTGACCTCCGTTGAGTTGCAAATCCTTCTTTGCCAATCATTCGGGTGTTTTCTGAAAGTATCGTGAGCCCTTCGAATAAAAGCCCTTAAAATATATATAACTATAACATTTTAAAAATAAATTATGGTTTATAAAGTCTTGTGGAATATTATAAGAATAAGATTAGTGGAATGAAAACCTAAATAAACAATATCATGATTCTCGTTAATCGCCAATTCCAGACCGCAACACTTGTCCATAATGGTCATGATTTGGATCATACAAAATTTAAAAATGTTTATATCATCATATTCCAATGTTTTATACACACAAGAAGGACACCTCTATAAAAACATAAAGGTATTTCATATACAGTAGAACCCCTTATAACCGGCCACCACGGAAAAAAAATTCGTGTTTTAGCGAATTTCCCTATAGGGAAGTAGCTATTACCGTAGGTCTCATAGTAAGACCTAGGCCCGGGACCGATTTACTTTTTCATTTTGATGTCCCCAGAGGCCAAAAACACCATTCGTTCAAATTTTTATATATCTATATATAGATATATATATATATACTAGCTGTACCCGCGGGCTTTGCCCCGTTTAACTTCATAAGTATTCGCATGGCTCAATCACGTCCTGGTCAAAGTTCGTTCGCTACGCTCACTCACCATTAGGTTGGAGCTCGTTCGCTGCGCTCACTTGCCTTCAGGTTAGCTCGTTCGCTACGCTAGTAACTTGCCTCCAGGTTGAAGTTCGTTCGCTACGCTCATTCACCTTTTGGTTGCAAATTAGCTGTTGTCATAAATAAAAAAATAATAGTAGTGCTGCACCCTGTTGGTAATCCTTGTAACTTTAATGCTATTGAACATCATAGAACAGAACCAACTCGTTTAATTGAAACAGCTGTTAAGATTCATTAATTCCTTTTTAAATGTGAAAAATCATAAGGTTAACATGGGAAACTCCAGAGCCACTGGGGCGGAGCCCGAAAGCCCGATCAGAATAAAAACCACTTAGTTTTCCTATTTAATGCCCAAAGAATCAGTGTACCGAATTTCAGCTTCCTAGGTAAATGGGAAGTGGGAGAATTAGTGATGAGTGAGTGAGTGAGTGAGTCAGTCAGTCAGTCAGTCAGTCAGTCAGTCAGTGAGGGCTTTGCCTTTTATATATTTAGATATATATATATGTGTCCATCCGCACGATAACTTGAGTAATTTTTGTCCGATTTTGATAAAATTTGGTTTGAAGGTGTAAGGCGGGATAAACTTGAACGAGTTCGCGAACCAGCATGATCGGACTATGGGAACGGGGCTTTACGGGGGGTTTTATGGGGTAAAAATAGGTTTTCCCATTTTTGACCCAAAAAACATAAAATTTTGCAAAATCTTTTCAAACCATTTTGTAGTGCATAAAAAACAAATAATTTAGTATATTGAAGTGTTACTATGCGCCTAATGGTTACGGAGAAAATTCCAAAAAATTCCATGTTATTCTTATGGAGAATAAGTAAACTGTTGTAGTTTGCTTGTTTATGAACATACTTTGATCAAATTTGGAAAATGTTTTTATTTCTTACTAACTATTAACATTTTACAAAAAAAAAGCAGTTTTACCCTCCCTGATGCAGCAAACCTAAGTACCTGTTAAACTAATTCTATTTAAATAGGAAATAAATGTTAAATTTTTAAGTAGATATTTTAGTGTAAATCCAATCAGACATATGGAAATTCGCTTAGTCTGCAGGTTTGCTGCGGCGAGGGTATTCTCTTAAACAGTAATGTATAGTCAAATTTTAAAACAGCCGCATAGAGAAAGGTGGTAGGCTACGTCAAATTTATAACAAAAGAATTAAATATAACAGCTGATTATAAACAAACCTTAAACCAAAGAGTTTTTTAATATATGTCTGGAGGACAGTGAGGAACAGATGCTATCCTTACATATTAAGTGAAGTTAGCATGTAATAGTTAACCGGCGGCACCGTTGATTTTATTGGGTTGGAAAGCAGTGGAGTACTGTCATAGTTGGGGGGCCTGGGGTGGCTTAGATGAGGGGGCCCTTTTTACATATATACATACTAGCAGTTACCCGGCGCGCGTTGCTGCAACAACATAAATCTGAATGAAAAGCATGTTTTTTCTACATTTAAACCGACCATAGTCAGGGATTGCCCTAGTGCCTTATAATGGTGATTGCGAAAGCAAGACACTAAGGAAATTGTAGTTGCTTAAATTCAGAGGGTAATTCGGATGTAATCATCAGTATTCTTGGGATTAAGACTATTTCTCCCTTAACCACTGATAATTTTTGCTTAAATCAATTTTGACGTCATTTTTTTAATCGTTAGTCTGGTAACGTTGCACAGCTTCAGTGGATTTAAGTTTCGCATTAGTATTATTGGAGTTCCTTCTTTTAATGACAGTAATGTGGTGGGTTAATGACAAATTGAGAGGTATTTGAATACCCGAGATAGCACGCACAATTATTACCTATTCACTTAATAATTTATGTTAGATTGTGTGGGTATAGAACAAAAGATAAACATATTAAGGCATTGCCATCCCTTTTATTGTTTATAATACTTTGATAAAGGTTTTTATGTTTACATATTTAAAATTGGAGAATTTAAACGTTGTTGAGTGCACAGGTGGGCTGCGATTGGAATTTAATATATTTGGACTTATTCAAAAGATAAAATAGTTTTCTGTGCTGCACTCTGTAGAAACATTGTGGCACTATTTCAAATCATAACTAATACAGAATATTGTGATTATTCAAACCTACAAAACAGTTGGTTAAAGTAAACATCTGCTTTTAAATAATATATTTATTTGCAAACATTGTAGTTCAAAAAGTCTGACATTGGTCCACTTAAAACCCTCTGGGGCGGAGCCCTTTTGACGGATCCGCACCATACTTCACACAAACTATCCTTGAAAGCTGCTTAATAATGCCTGAAAGTTTCATTACAATCTGTCTAGCGGTTTTGGAGTCCATAACGTATATACATATATATATATACACATACATAGTTTCTCTTTTATATCTTACTAGGTGAAACCCGTCGAAATCGACGGTTACTTTCCAGGCTTACGATAATTAATCTAACTGCGATAAATTGAGTGAAATTATACATATTTTGAGCATTTAGCATTGTTTGAATATTAATGAGTGTAAAAACAATAATGCCATTAATTGCGTTAGTTAGTAAATATTTTTGATCATTCCACGAATAAAATATTTCCCATACTGTACGTCATCGGAGTTGTGAGTATGCTATCTGGTATCTCTTCCTTTGGAAAAACCTTTAAATACCTAGTATTGAAATCGTTTTGGTGGATCTTTTGTAGTTAAACACTCCCGTGATTTCATCAGTGTTATGCAAATTAATCTATGATTTTATTTGAAAAAAAAATCTGTTTGTTGGGAAGACACGTTCTAACTTCAAAGGGAGGTACATCCGTTACAGTGCAAGTTTGATTTTTCCTTCGTCACGTCGCGTCAGTTCATATCGTACTTCTGTGCCAATGAATAACCCTCTAGCACAGTTTTAAGAAATTGGTTGTGAGGTTACTGTTAAAGCTGGCATTCCTTGACATGGGGGATGTCAGTAAGTTGTCTCAGCCTTATCAGTTACACCAAGTTGTCAATATAATCTCTCTACGGAATGTTAGGTGTAGTTGAATATACTTTAAGTGAAGTTGGCTTTTATTCTTGAACTGTTAGGGGCCTCCTCATTCATATGCTAAAAATAATGTAAATTGGCTGTTACGTAAATATTGACGTTTACATGCATTGTTAATCAACGTATCTTATAAATGATGATGTGATCTAGTTTAAAAGGATGATCTTTCAGTCATGACAATAGCTGCTTAGATAGTATTTACTCATTGGGCCATTTTTACAGCCAAAATGTTGTGTTATTTTCAATAATGTTACCAACCCAGTGGGCCATGGTCCGTAATATAGGCCACTGTGAAAAAATATAAGGAAAATAAGGTGTTAAAAAGACAGACACCAACTCGTAAAATAGATTTAAGATGATCAATAAGAAATAATTGTAAGAAGAGTTATTGTGATAAAAGGATTTTCCACTGATTTCGTAAAGTAACTTTATATTGCAAAACATGACATGATACAAAAGACAATCAATTTTAAAATAAGAAAATAACATTGCAAATACTTCTTTTGGACAATTCAGTAACTCCCAATAAATGTGTGTTGTTTAAAACACAATTTTAACCCTTCCCGGACGGGTGACGGATATATCCGCATAAGTCTTTGGTGATAAAGGACGGGTGACGGATATATCCGCATATGGTTTTTGATGCTCCGGACGGGAAGCGGTTATATCCGCCTTCTTTTCAGACAGACTGGCATGTGCTTGAGCAGTAACCAGATGTTTCGCGGAACCAAGGCGCCACTATCCTGCTCTTTCCATGACTGCGTTCTCCCCCGCACTCCCCCCTCTCTACCACGCTAACCCCTCTCCTGCGCCTCACCCCCCCCCCCTCGCACCTACCACCACTCCTACGCTCCTCCTCGACGTTTTGCGCTCAACATTACGTTGTCTCTATTTATTGTTTACATATTGTTCTTTATTTATTGCCTAACGTTGTC